AATTCAGAAATTTAAAAACATTAATATGAAATTTAGAATAAAATAATCATTGCATGTGATTTATTAATTCTATTTTTAATTTACATTTAATTAAATGAATATTCAGTAAATTAAAAAAAATCCTATGCACTAAAATATATGAAAAATGCAACGGTTAGCGTATTCGTATTCATATCTTGCTCCACTATTTCGTATACTTCATATGTCTAACAATATATGATGATATAGTATAGTACGCATCCGCATTTCTGATGCCAATCGTTCTTTTTACATTGCACCAGCCTACGCACTTGAATAAAGGTAACAGAAACGATGGATACCGGGGTGAAAGCTTATTTTTGCTCAACTGATCAACTGGTTTCGTAAATATATAATGTAGTATAGCCAGTGTACTTTATCTACTACGTACATACATGTTTATGTACACATGATTGCAATCGCGTTTTAGTAAAATACATAACAATGATGGTATACTATAAATATCCTCAAATAAATTAGAGAACGTGATGTAGTAGTTTGCAACATCCGGTAAATTAAAATTTGATTTAAATTTGATTTCTCATTTAATAAATATTATTATTTTAACTTGTTATAATTTCCATCATGAATTATTCATTTATTTATTTCATTTAGTAAGAAAGATATAATCAGTATTTAAAAGAAATCCTTTCTCTCTTTCATAATATTGTATAATTTAATTTAAAGGAACACAAAAATACAGAAATATAAATTAAATGTATATAATGTCATTCTTTATTACAAGTAAATAATATAAATTTATGTTCCTACAATTAAATTAAACTGATACAAAATATTAAAAAAACAATTTTATCTAAGTCTATTTATTATAAAATTTGCCATTTAGATTATTCATCACTGTTTTCATTTATAAGAAAATATTTAATTTGCAGGAATTCTATATATTTGGATCATTTAGATGAAATTGATTTAAGTTACTGTTACGTGATTTTCATTATTTTCGTCATTTATTATATGTTTTAATGACTTTGTACACGCGAGATAAATGATCGCGAGAAATAAATTATATGCGGACATACGACATTTCACCTAGCAAAATACTCTGGCAATCCTGCGGACGTCCTATTCTCGCCGAATTCTTGGCAGCGATGCGGTCAAAGAATATCTTCGAGATTCTCGTACAAGTCAGCGAGATGACGGGACACGTTTGTGTCATAACTGATTATCGAACGCGTGTATCACGAAAATGTATCCGTGCGTGAATAATTACTATGTTTCGTATTTTTAGATAAAAAGAGATACTGACATTATATCACAATTTTCTAATTAAATTAAAAAGAAATGAGTCGCAAGATGAGAAAATATAAAAAAGATTTCTCTACTGGATATTCTTTTCAAGAGAATAATAAGCATAATAATTGTAAAGCATAATAAAGCGATAATTGTAATGATAATATTAATAATTAAAAAATTAGTTAATATATCATATAAACTATTACTTGACATTAACTAATTTTTTGAAAATTTTTTCAATTTTTATAATTATATTCTTGCATATTTAATGCATAATATTTTTAAAATCAGATAATCAATAAGAAATAAATATCTGTTACATTATATGATTTGAATTCAATTTTTTTTTACCAAATTGCACATTAAATTTTTGTTAAAAACTAATATCTAAATCTACGCTATATTAAACTTTTAAAAAAATTTATTTTATTAGTATTTTCTAAAAAATATATTATTTGCATATTAATCATATTTTAATATTAAGTGTGTAAAACTTTTGAGAGATATTCTGTCAAATTGCCTCACATAAATAATATAAAACTGTCAAAAATATTCGATCCAACTTTCCCATGCGTTTCACGTGGTAATTGATGGATACATGTGCTACAAGGTACGGAAAGGAAGCAGTTTAGAGATACATCGCATTCTCAGATTAGGGTGTCTCGTGATTAAGGACCGTGTGCATCTGCATTTGCGGACACAAACTGTGGCGCAAAACGCCTGTCATCTATCTATCTCGTTTTATAAAGAATGTCTCTAGAAAAAAAACATCCGACATGTTCTCGAAATCATCGTATGATCGATGAAACACGTATGTTAGTGTCTAACTTGCGAGTATAGATGATAGGATGATTAAGACATTTCCTGTTGAAAAAAATGTTAAAGTAATATGCGATTGAAGGCTCGACATTAGGTTGCGTGACCGCATCATATTTTTAAAATTATTTAAAAATTACGTGACAGCATCAAATTTTTAAAATTATTTAAAAATTGGAAAAAGTAAACGAACTGAATAATATATAATTATGGAAATTTTATATAATATTGAGATCGATATTGATAGAAATCAGTAGTATTATTTGAAGTGATTTCTTAATAAATATTTCATATTAAAAAATTATTTCAGTTTTAATTATCCAATTTATGTCTAATTATACTACAAGAATTGAAAATTATTTAATTATAAAATTAAGAGAAAAAGAAAAATACCGATTATTTATTCTAAATTTATTTCTTGAAAAACATCTTTTTTAGAGACATATATAATATATTTATCATTCACATGAAAATTTAATGCATTTTTTCTAAATATATGTAATGTTTTTTAACGATGCTGTTTAAAAAAAAAATTGTCGAAACATAATTTTACGGTAATTCTCTCGTTTACAACTGACTTTATGGGAGAATCTCGGGATTCTCAGGCTAATAGAGACGTTGAAAGATCGAACCTGGTTAAGCCACAGTCATATCGACTGTGTGATCGTTCGGAGGGCGTGGCGCCGGTACACTTGAAGATCGTTTGACACAAAAGCTGATCCGCTTCCTCCGGGCCATGTTATTAACTTAACATACCTACACGTTCGGTCTCTCACGACCGAAGATCGAGCAAGATCAATCGCGAGCACCTTCATCGCCGACGCCCCCAAAACTTCTTTTAAAACGCGCCGAAGAATTCGCTCTCTCTCTTTCTCTCTTCATCTTACTTTCTCTTATCTTATTCGCCTGCGGATGATTTGCTATCATCAACGATATTGAAGAATATTTTAAATAATTCAAATACATATATGCAAGGAAAAAGAGAGATACTTTAGTTAACATTCTTATGAAAGGAAAAATAAATAAGAGAAAAAAAGAGAGAGATACAAAATTACATGTATATATTTTAATATCTACTTATATATACAATATAAATAAAATATGGTTGGCGCGTATATATTAAGATTAAGATTTAAATAATTTTAATTTTTCTCCTGCATAACATTTGATTATTTATTTTTTAATTGTTAATTGAATATATGAATATATGAGTAAAAATATCATTATACAAAAAATTCGGTTTATTATTTATGTCATTTTGTGTAAAAATCATAATCACAATGATATTTTTGAAATAATCATTTTCAAATATTCAAGTATTACTGAATATAATTAGTATGTTCTTAAAAATATTTCACCACTTTAAATTAAAAATAATTTAATGGATATAAGATAAAAATAATTGACATAAATTTACTTGGCTTAATATTGGATTAAAAATTGATTGTTAATTTTTTTATCTGTACGTATTTTATTCGTGAATTAAGTGGCATTGTGAAAATGTAACAGTAAAAACGGCTCATTCCAAAATATTTTTAAAATAACTATTTTCTCAATATTTTTAAAATAACTATTTTTTCAATCATTTTATTAAAAATTAAATAAAATATTTTATATCTTATTTAAAGATAAAATAAATGTATATATGTTCTTTGTATTTGATAAACAAAAATAAAACGTTAAAGCTGTAACAAAAAGAATAGATCTATTATTAATTTTTATGACAATAATTTATTTTATTCTGAAATAAAGAATCCAGACATATATTAAATAAGTTTATTTATAAATTAAAACATATATACACTGATTGAACAATAGAATTGTCTACATTTTATTAACAAATAAAGAGAAAAAAAATAAATCTCATCTATAGATCTGCCGGCTTTGAAAGGCCCAATGAATTCAATACGTTAGTACGTACCGTTCTCGTATAACGTTCATTACATAATACCGTTCATTCACGCGCACGTGGGTGCCCAGTCCACGTGACTTTCATGACTGGCCATTCAACTTCGCGCCACTGCATAGAGCCTGAGCATCAAGATCGTTATAATCGTTGCCGATAGAATTTATTGCACGTTTAAGGTCTATTTTACAATGAATCATTCCAAAATATTTTTAAAATAATTATTGCATCTTTAAGGTTTATTCTGCAATGCCTCATTCCAAATAAATATTTTTAAAATAACTATTTTTTCAATTATTTTATTAAAAATTAAATAGAATATTTTATAACTTATTGGAAAATAAAATAAATGTATGTTCTTTAGATTTGATAAAAAAATAGAACGATTAAAACTATAAAAAGAATAGATCTATTATTAATTATTATGACAATTTGTCATTTAATTTTCAAATAAAGAATCCAGACATATATTAAATAAGTTTATTTACAAATTAATTAAAACATATATACACTGATTAGAATTGTCTATATTTTATTAACAAATAGAGAAAGAAATAAATTAATCGTTAGTCCTAAATAAATTGACCAATCACAGTCGATTATTTTATTTTCGAAATAATCGATTGTGATTGGTCAATTCGCTTAGGACTAAGCCTAATATTTGTCGTACAAACTTTTTAAACATATTAATTGGCTGCAGAATAGAAAGTTTCTGAAGAATCAAAAAATTACTATCCCACAGCCAATCAATGTGCTTAAAAAATTTGTCGTACGACAAATGTAATATTAGGCTAACGGCTAATGACTCATTATGGAACATACCTAACACGTAAAAGATGAGACTATATATTTGTGTCAATCATTATGCGTTAACTTCGACTTATGTTTACGACTTCTGTGAGCAACAATTATGACAATCTTGATGCTCGAGGCCCTTATCGCGTATGATGACGCGGGATTTTAGCTGCCCGGCTGTCATAATATACATATATACACTTACACATACCTTGCGAGGTTTCAAGGCATGCACCACTTTCGGTCGTAGACACTGCTGCGCCAACAGGAACGTGACGGAAGCGGTGATCAGCAGCTCGGCACCATTTCGGAATCTCCTGTAGTCACTGTCAACACGACGCGACGAGTAGGATCGCGTAAAACTGCGAAAATATCGCGCGGACGACGAAATGCGTCGCGACACACAAGCTACCGTCGCCATTTTCAATACACTCCACCGGCGCATGCTTCGTCATGCTTCGTGACGTCACAGCTTCTCCCACTACCAGAGCCAGTGCTGCCGTCAAAAATGTTCGCGCCCGGAAACAAACAGCGCGAAAGATGCCTAGATTTAAACCTTGTTTTTTAACATTCTTTTTACTAAATATACTTGGTACTTCTCGTCAGTTTAATTATAATTTTTCATATGGAAGCTTTTTCAATTTCTCCGTAATTTTTAAGATCAATATAAATTTTTTTTTTGTGATGATACACGCATGGCACATCAGTGTGAAAGCTGACGTTGTTTGACAGTTGGTAACCAAATAGCATCGAGCGCGAGACAGATCTAAATTGAGACACATTTAATTAATGAATAAGTTATAATTAGAATATTTTAATAATTAAAATGCGTATAAATATTGCGTTTGATTATCGATAATTTGTTAAAATCCTTGCTGCATGTTAGTATTTCAAGATATCGAATATCGAACTTCGCGCGCTTTTCCCGCACTATTTTCTTGCTATAATTAATGTGAAGCTGCTAACGTCACTTTGGAGATCACTGCAAGCACGAGACGGATCGACTCTGAATCTCGACTTTTAATTGAGGTAAATATAAGTGGAATAACGATAAATAAGTATTATATTTTGCTGATTTTTGAGCGCGTAGTGTATATACATAAATCTGAAGTATGACGTCATTACGAGGTCAAACGTTGTTGTCGTTCGCGCGGTAACATTCCAACAGGTGAGCGACGCGACGTTGGGGAGGGAGGCGGACGCTCCGTACGTTACGCGTCATTACTTTTCGAGACACAATCACGAGAAGTACTATAAATCAGGAATAATTAATAAGTATCATTTCACGCGATTAACAAGTAATTCGTGAATTACGAGAATATCGAAAGGTCGACGTGATTCAAAGGAAATATTTTGCACGTTTTATTCGCATGAAGGAGGCATCGATCTGAAGCTGCTGACGCTGTGACGTCACTTCCGCGTTAGTAACGAACGTCGCGAACGCGAGACAGATCGACTCTGAATCGCGACACTTTTAATTGGTGAATAAATCGTAATAAATATCATATTTTAATAATTTTCGAGTAGTGTATATTAATTCGACGTATGACGTGTGACGTCACATTGTTATACGAGGTCATTGTTGTCATTCGCGCGATAATCGAGTGAAGATGAAGGTGAATGATGTGGCATTTTCGAGACGCCATCGTGAAAAGTATCATGTCGAATTCAATTATAATGTAGAAGTGATTAATTAGTGATTAATTAGAATATCCGGGTAATTATCTAAATCGATTAAATGATTAAATATATCGCAATGACGACGTTTGCCGGAGAAAATATTTCGAGTGTTTTATTTATCGACGCGTTAGGAGAATTTATATATAAATTATTGCCTCACACATATTAACATCAATTGTAATGTATTAAAATCATGTTTTAATAATTTACGATCGCGTGACATGTAAATACGATGTTCGCGTGATCATCGATGATTTATTAAAACCTCTGCTATTTTCGCGTGCATGAGCTTATCTTGAGATAAGCTTTGCTTTTCCCGCCATAATTAAATGTGTGTCGTTTACTATTAAACTCGGAAATACCACGGGCTCATCAATTATATTCGGGATTAGTGCGCGGAATTAATTGTTTTGCGAGTGCGCGCTTTATAATTATTCGTTTTCTTGCCAGTGAGTGAAGGAACGACAAGGATGAACAAAGAAAAAGAGCCAAGACGACATTAAACGACGCTGGAGCCAGCATGAGGTGAATAATTATTTATTATTATTTATTTTTTATTATTTTTTTGTAAAAAATTCAATTAAATAAAAGTTTTAAGTCGCGCAATAATTACTTCTCGAGATATTAAATAAAACTTGAATATATTTGCTTTAATCTAAATAAATTTAATCTAAATAAAAAGATAAATTTAATCTAAATAGATATTTTTTCTATCTTTTATAGATCAACTCTATTATACGCTGTACTACTGCATACTACTCAGTGTATTCCGTGTACTACCTGTGTACTACCTGTGTACTACTGTGTACTACTGTGTACTATATAACTCAGCCGTTGCTCATCTATTGTACTGTAAGTTTAAACTATTTTTTATTTTAATTATGAGATGATGGATTTGTGAAAATTTTTTACCAAATATATATATATATATATATATATATATATATATATATAATTTATCTAAGATGACAAATATTAGAATCGAACCAAACAATTTAAAGTATTTTTTAAAATAATTATTAATATATAACAGTTTGTTTTTCAGTTTGCAATAATAATAAATACAACATTAAAATATTATTTATTATTTGTTTTAATAAATTACTTGATGTTAAGAATTATTATTTCTTTAGAAATCATATTAAAAATAATAAAAATTATATTAGAAATATTAAAAATTAAATTTATAAGAATATAGAAATATTATTGACATATATATGCTTCACAAATCCATTGTGCCTTAAAATGGACAGATTAGGATAAATTGGATTAAATATTTAATTCTGGAACATATGAGACTATCTGTCACATCAATGTATATACAAAAATACACATATATAAATAATTGATAAATTAGATATTACTTTCATCTATGCATTACTTTAATCAGTTTGATTATTTATATTATAAGAAATACTTTTATAATTTAAATAATGAGTATAAATATGAATATTTGAGTATGATTCATATAAAATTATAATCAATAATAAAATAATTTTTGTTAAAAAGATGTTTTTATATTTTTTTATATGCATATAAATTTAAAGAAAAAAGATATTATTATATTAGATTTTAAATCAAAATTATTCAATATAGAGAGAGATCGAATTTTTAAAAAATACAAGAACGCTATGAAGATATGATATTATATATATCAATATTATATATATCAATATTATTTTGTTAAATTTTTTTAAACACACATTTTATAATTATTTAAAAATGTATAAAAATGATTTGAGATTATATTTTAATTTATTAAATTTTGGAATTTAATACTTATTCAAATTATGAAAAAGAAGAAAGAAGTAACATTAAAATACAAGATTGACATATATATTTATTTTATTCTAAAATATAAATTTTCATATTTTAATTTTTTGGTATTCTCTCATCTCGTAAAGATTTATAAAATATTTATAGAATACAATTACACTTAAATATTTGCAGAATATTGATAGAGAAAAATATTGATATATTTAGCTACATGATTTTATTTTATCTTCTCATTATTTTCTTCTTCAAATATATTTTCGATAGTATTGGAAATCTATGTTTTTTGTAGTTTTGGAAATCTATCTGTGTTTTTGGTCTTCTTATTTTTCTCCAGAATTAAATATTATATAAACTAACACATAAAAAAGAACAACATACATATATATAGCAGAGAAATTCTAATGTACATACGCGAACACAAATAATGAAAAAAACAGAAAATATTTTATAATCAGAACGTACTTGAAATAATCTATTTGATGAAAACGCATTAAGTATCAATAATTTTGTTTTAATTTTATGCCATTTTTATTTCAATTTTGCATAATCTGTCCATTCATATTTATTGATAAATTGATATTAATATGAAATAATATAAAATAATATGAAAGAGCAAGCATATGTTTAGTCACGAAGCAGATAGATTTTCTGCATGAATTATTTTGGAAATACAATTTTTAAGATTTTATATCAAATATATAATATAAAAAACGATGCAGGATTAATTTGAAGATTAATTAAATTGATTTACAATTATAACACGTTCACGTTTGCTCTTTATATTATTCAAAAGATAGAATTTGAATTGAAGCAGATCATAAAAGTGATATTATATATGTGGATTTTGAAAATCTTATATCACAAGTAATAACTTGATAATATTAATAATGTGATGCGGATAAAGTTTTCAAACATGATGTAAAAATGTTTTTAAAATAATTCCTAGTTTTATAAATTAACAAATTAATTTTTAAAAGCCAATTTTAGTTAATTTTTTAGATATATTTATTTTTAGCAGTGTCGAATAGTGGTTTCTCCTAATTAATAATATTATTCGAAATATATGGGAGTAACTAATGATTTTATAGTTTATTCAGATTGGAACTCGATCTGTCCTTCGCAAGATAATTTCTCCTTCAAGGCATATTGTAATCACGCATTAATTATGATCACGCTGGATGTAAAATAAGTTCAAATAAATGTGGCTTGTCGTGTAACAATCTTGCGCTGCGTCATTATGAAAAAAAACAAGGGCCCAATTATTTTCCCTTTCTCCTTCATTCTATTCGCTTCTTTTACCTTACGTGTTCATCTACTATTTTTCGTGTTTTTAATCAAACAGTACCTCTACATCCGCGACGGATAATCTGGTATTCATAGCATATTTGCAAGGAGAAATTATCTTCCGCGAATAACTCCATATTATCATTTTGCTCAATCATCTGCTGCTGCGCATTCTAACTTGTGCCTCCAATTGCTTCTTACTAAAGCCGAATAAAATTAGCAAATTATGAACTAAACATGATATGAGTTAATCATACGAAAAATAACTTGAAATCATTAATTGCGAGTTATAAAAATAATACAAATTATTTACAGTTAATCTTATATTTAATTAAATATTTAATAAAAATTATTTGATAGAATTATAATCAAATTTTGCACACATATACAGTATATGTGTCAATAGATTAAAATTTTTTGGGAATAATTTTATGCGAAAGAGAAACATACTTGACTATTATTTCATTTGCAATATTGAAAAATGAAAATTTTTATCTTTTACAAATTTTAATTATTTTAAAATTTGTACAAGTAGAAAAAGTAGAAAATTATTTTTAACTATTGATGCATTTGTGATAATGAAATCTATAATGTTTCAAAGTAGAAACACGATTTTATAAATTAAGATATCAGGTTTATAAAAAATAGTACGAGACTAATTTGGATAATAAAGGGTTAACTTAGCTGACTCACAAATTGTCATCGTGACGCGTTTGCATGTTCCTTGTACGTGTTGAAAAGATAGGAATAGAACTAAAGAGGGTCGTGCAGACGAAGGACGTTATGTAACAAGACGCTTCTTCACCCACGTCCCGACACCGCGTGACGCAACGCGAAAAGAGTTTGTCGAGTGGCGCGTGTGCTAAAATTACGCAGGCTAATATACGCACCGGTGTTACGTTCTTAATGCGTATCGACTATCGTTGAGCCTTTCTTGGATTTCTTGTCTATCTTAAATCAATACATTTTTGACAAATTTTTTCTGACAATAAAGAGAATATAACAACGTAAGCTGTATGTATATATACAAGATTCTAACATATAATATGTTTTCAAATTATTTTTATTTAAATATTAGATTTTTGTTTCTCTCATACATCTAAAATAAAATTTAAATAAAAATTAAAAATTATTTCAAAATATTTTCGAAATATATACATATATACATGTAATTCTTAATTCGGAAACCCTAACATTTTTCGAAGCAAAAATTATTTTCCTTTTTCAATTATTACGGCTGAGCAGATATATAATAATATAAAGCTTCTTATATTTATTTAAAATTTTGTATGGCATATTAAATTCTGATTATAAGGAAAATGCCTTATCACTTTAAATTTTAAATAATATATATTCAAAATCTAAAATGATAAAACATTTTGTTTATAATCAGAATTTAATTTAATATGCCACACAAAATTTTAAATAAATATGAAAAGCTTTATATATTATATATCTGCTCAGCCGATTGTAATAATTGAAACGGGAAAATAAGTTTTGCTCCGAGAATTCAAGAAAATATTCATGGTTCGCGGATTAAGGAAATACCCAGAAAGTGCAACAAGTTTGCTTGGACAGGCGGATAAAAATTCACTTGACTTCATGCCGCAGCTGCCTCGTCGAGTGAAATAACCGGCAATGTGAGCATGCACGAAGTTTAAATCGCTTCGCGTAGCATGAGTGCAACGAAGTGCACAACGAGTTTACTGGAGATGTCCAACGACTTCTTGTTATCGCAAGCGAAGTATTACACTTTTTGGAAGACTGTCACAAGTCAAAGAAAATAAAATATCTTCTAGAAATTTTTGATTTTTAATAGAACTTTAATAAAATTATGTGAAACATATAAATTTTCGGAGATAAGATCGGCTTTCAATTTAATTATAACATTATACTTTTTGATATCTTATAGAGTCAGAAAAAATTGAGCGTAAGAGAATCGCCTCAAGATATTTAGGATTATAGATTTCAAGCCTGTATAAAACACCTTAGTATCCACCAGTGCGTATCTTCACTAATTTGAATAATCAAACCCGACATATAATTGATAAGTATATAAAGGATATAGCGAATTGAAAATTTTTAATGATAGTAATGACACTGATAACAACTATGGAAAGGTATCATCAGCACTACTTCATTTAATAAGTGAAGCAGTTAGAGTGCAGACAGAGTGAAGCAGTCTCATACACCTGTGCATTATATGTCTATCTTTAAAGTTTGATACGGATATAAGTACAGCTTAGAGTTAGAAATGTTGAAAACACTGCAGGGTAGAGTCGATTATGATAAATGTCTGTGATAATGAATAAATCGTGGCAACTTTACGCGTAAAACGCGTGCAAAATCCTACTTACAACCTGTTTGACTCGATGAGCGAGGAAACTTATACATTAACACGTATGTATATCATTAAAAATACATTCTGATGAAAATTAAAATTATTTAATGTGCATTGTGATTTGATATAGAAGTTATTTTAATATCTTTAGTCTCTTATAAACAATCTTACGACAAAGTTTGAGATAGAATTTTATAGCTAAAAAAATATATACATTTAAATATACTCACAAATATATTAAAATATGTATTTTACACATAACGTTATAAGAGATATATTATAAAATTATAAACAAAATTCTCTGTCTTAAATTTTGTAACAATTTGTAAATTGTCTACAATAGATTAAAATATTTCTCAACGAAAATATTAATTATTTAAGAAAAATATTGCTATACATCGGATAAAATATATATTAATATTTATATTTTAATATTAATATATATTTTATC